AGAGAGAGAGAGAGAGAGAGAGAGAGAGGCCCATAAATTATTGCTTTAGCAGTCTGAACTCTAGCCTTACTGCAGTAGTTCCACAGGGAAGGCAAGCAGCATCTTTTACTTTTACTTACAGTGTAACACGTACAGATCAAACACAAGAGACCTCGAAATCACACATCCGTCAAATTGTGCCTGCGGTCCCATTTGTTTCTCTTCTTTACCTTTGTAAGATATCCCTCGAACTACAGATCCCTTGAACCACTAAGGCCGGTCCCAACGAACTTGAGCTATCCGTGTTTATCTCTATACATATATTTGTACTGTATAGTGTTTATCTATACATATATTTGTACTGTATAGTAGTTATCAACCAACTGTACCTCTATTCCAAAGCTGTGCAAATCTGTATCTGGGAAGTTATGTTTGTAGATACTGTTTGCTGAGGTATTGATATCCACAGCCATGACAACCTCGAAGTCCGCACCACTCTCTGAAACAGTCCAAAAAAATGTACACATAGATCTATATTGTGATGTCGTTTAACCGTTATGGCAGTCACATAATAAATACTTGCACTTTTTTTTCTCATAAATTGTAACTTACCCCTGGTAAGTATGTCTGCTATATATGCCAACAACACAACAAAGAGACAATAGTGATTGTAATTGGTTTGTGCAAGGGAAGCCAGTCAATCTCACTGGGGTCTATAATTCGCTGTGATTACTAGACGAGCCGGAATCACGTGAAATAAGTGAACAAACTTAGTGTAGCCTACTGAGTGTAGGAGAACAAGGGAGCACAGGGGGTATATAAACAGACGCGAAGGTTGAACCGGCCTTCCGATTTTAAATCTAGGCAGAGCAGGGATCGATGTTACTGGTGGGTCAATGCAGTGGATGGAGCTCCGGACCTGTAAGACCCACACACATCGTTCCCCTCTCGAAACAGTGAGTATTGAAACCAACGTAGATAGACTAACGAGTAGAATCTAGGATTAGATAGCACTTATCATCTCATTACACTCACTGTATGAATCCTTGCTTCTCATGTCTGCTCACACACTTACATTGATGATTGAGAGAGCTAAGCTTTTCGGAATGGGGTAGTTCACTAGAAGAGTGTGGGTGTGGGTGTGTGTGTGTGGGGGAGGGGAGCACTTCACATCACTTTGGATGTTATTCTCAAAAGACAGACAATGACAAAAAGGCTGAAAAGGGCCTCCCTGTTCATACAGTTTTCCTTTCCTAGCCAATAACTTATATTGATAGAATAATAACTATTTAATAATAATAATAATAATAATAATAATAATAGAT